TCTCACTCAGTGGTGGTTTCTTGACCTACAAACAGCAAAACCTTAGCATCAGTCATAGGTGAATTTATCTACATGTAGGATAGTTTTGTTCATCAAAGAATCTTTAAAGGCTATGTGTAAAATTATAACTTCCCACAAACACAACAGTCTGAATATGATATCTGTGCATACCTTCAGTTTCACGAAGAGATATGTCACGTGACATAAATATGGGATACCTTATTGCTACTCTGATTTATGGATGCTAATTTGAGCTGCAAGATACGCATCACAGACAACTGAAATATGCTAATGAGTATGCAAATTGAGGTGATTGATTATTAAGATAGAAATACACGGCAATAGATTATTTGTGTAAGTGGGCACCTGTTCAGCTGCCTGATGTTTACACAAAAACCATGTTCGTCTTGAAATTCTAACCGGAATCGTAAAGCATTCTATAATTGAATATATTGCAATATATGAGCACGAGTTTGACAGCTTTTATGACGAATAATTTGTTTCTGCCGAGTTTACTTAGTTCAAACCGATACTAACTTAACTTACTGCAATTTTAAGACCAGTTTTTCTTTTGAAGTTGCAGTTATTGCACTATTTTTTTTAAAATTTTTTAAATTCAAAACTTGCCAAACAATTTTTTCTTCTTTTCTTCCCCAAATATTTGTAAAGCTCTGAATACAGTATGTATCATTTTAAAAACGTGATAGGGTAAAATACAAAAATTGCTTGTAGCTATTAATAAACATTTTATGCAGTGCTAGGTCATTTCTTTTTTCATTTCTTGAAATTTAGCTCTATGGAAGTGTACAATAATATGTACAACCGTTAATATAAAATAACTATAAATATTTTAATACATATTACATATTATCTGATTTTTCATGTTATGAATTGAGATGACAACATGTACTTACTTCTAAGAATAGATGTGATGAAGTATCAAATTAATGTCTAATTTGGCTTAATTGGCTTAATTAGAGTCAGTAATGGTTTAGTGAATATCTATAAATGAAAAATTTATCAAAATAATTTTTTTTAAATGTAGTCATCCTAATTCTATAGCAAATGTGTCCAAAAGATAGATCATGAAAAATCTGCACTGTATTACTTTAGTAATGAAAAAAGAATGCATCACATTTTCTGTTTCACAGTCATCTACATCATTACAAAATCTCTGTGATACTGGCTGTAACCTTTAGGAATATCCAGTCACAGTGATTCACATCTCTTTTCATATCTGTTGTTAAGAATCAAACTAACCTGTTTGTAATATCACATACGTCTGATTTCTAAGCAGGACCTGTCTCCCTAGTTTTCTCAACCCGATATATCATAAATCTTGTTTAATATTGCACAATCACTATGAAACACGTTTTCTTAAATTTGGAAAAAAAAAATAATAAAATTCACAAACGTATAAAGAATTCCCGATTCTACAGGTGTTTTCAAGTTTATTTCAAACATATTTCTCTATCATAAAATTTAATGTCTCATTGCGTTATCATTCATACACACTGGATTGAGATTTTATATAACTTGGAGCAAAGTAAGTGATTGTAACTCTTGAAATTTCCAGGACAAACCAGGTCAAATGTTTACAACTGATACACATGACAATAAAGAAGATTTATAATACAATATATATATATATGGGACAATTTTTTATAACTTACACAAAATCATACAGAAACCTTAAGTACTTTACAGTAATACAGAAAGAACTCCGTCCTTGTTCTGTTAAGTTAGTATAATTTACTTATCTTTAAAATGAAATTAATAATCTGCATCTGCAGCTGACCAGTTTGTAGCCCTTGTTTGAAAAGAAGTGTAATGCTTGGCATACATCTGATTTTGGAAGTAAAGATTTTGGAATGTAAAATTGAAACCAGTGTTTAAAATCACTACATAAAGTGAAAATGATTTATTGTTTACCTGGTCGTTAAAACATTATACCTGTTATTTGGATACGAGTCAAATGTTGCATTATTTTCATGCAATATACCAGTCGTCTATACATTTTATAAATGACACTACCACACACAAGTTTATGTAATCAATTATCAGATATTGTGAAGTTTGTGAGGTTTTTTTTTCATAAAGGCAAGTCTATATACAGTAAGGTTTATGTAGTGTGCCTACTTGATAAAGAATATATCCATTGCACAAAATGTGAGGAATGCACACCCCAGTCCATATCTTGACTCGAGGAGTTAACACCTAAGTTTATCTAAAGGATTTTATCATTACTGCAATTTAGCTGTCATCTGCTTAATTTGAAATGATGAATAGGTGCTTAGCACTAACAGTAATGTCTTTTGGCTTTTATTATTTCTCTTCCATAAATACATCTGTCAAAATCTTCTCATGATAACTATCTAATATCGTGAATACCAGAGCTAGAAAAGTGACCTTAGAAGTCGGTTTTTACGTCATTATTTCAAGAAAAAGATTCACCAATTATTGTCTGCCTTTTGTGGTTATATGGGAATACACTAAAAAACATACAAAATTGCACTTGTGTATTGTGAACTTCATTGATTTATTTTTTAATATTTGAATAGTTTCACGTTTCACCGAAACCTTGCATCGTTTATATTGTATGACTGCACATGTCATGTGTCAGAATTGAACGTGATCAATTAGCTGATTTCTGACGTGTCATTGATGAAATAGAACTCTGATTTGCGATCAATTTCACTGACACCATGACCACGTTGCGACTGCCCATACATCTTGTGCCTGAATGGCGACAATCATACCGGTGAAAAAGAATTTCACTTAGACCTGGCATAATTGTCGTATTTAAATGCGTTGTGGTGTAAATCTCTTTCTTAACAGGATCTTTGTAAATGCTTTACCTTCAAAAGGGATATTATTGTGGGTGCAAGCTTGGCTAGACAAAGGTCTGTTATTGACAGCTAATGACAACCTCATAAATTTCACATATTGTTACAATATGACCTCTTCTAAAGATATTTTATCATCATCGTGTAAAAATTTGTTTAAAAGAGGACACTTTCGTGCGAACTTTTATATCTTCCTTTCAGTACATTGAGAATCTAAAACACAAAGTTGATAAACATAAGCTTATACATCATCATGATGTTTTCAATAAAAACAACTTCCAGTTTTTCATGCAACAAATATGCTCCTTTATTGTGAAAGAAACAAAAAACAAAAACAACACATTGTAATATTACAAAACATTATTAGTAAATAATTTTATCACTACTAATAAAACGAATTTTTTTAATGAAAATGTTAATAATATTTCTTGTATTTGAAAAAAAAAATGAATTAGGGTTGAATTATTTTCTCTCGTAAGTACTCTGCTAGGTGGTGATGTACAGGTTACCTGTGTTTGTCAGGTGTCAAATCAGTTCAGGCAGTGCACCAGGCAAGGACAGACATACAAAAAAAGTCCTTTGGTAACATATCAAGTATGGTGATTATTGTAAAATGATGTGGGTATTTCCTCGCATTTTTTAAATGAAATTGTTGATAATAAAGTGTATTGCACGGTGCGTTGTGGAGATCTTGTTTGTCGTTCATTACCACCTGGACATGGCCTGCGGGAGAACAGACTTGATTTTTTCAATGCAGTATTAACACTAGAATATATTCTAATTGATACCTGCGTTAATACCAGACATGTTGAAATAAAACATAATTTCATTGTCCATAAATCTCTTCTGCTTTGAATTTAACTTCAACAGATAATCTTATGCAACAACATACTTCTTTAATCTGTGGAATTCCCTCCCAAAATTCGTAACTATTGAAATATCTCATGAACATGATAAAGGATTGCTTGTCATTAAATTTACCCTATCATGATACACACTGTCCTTTTTATCTTCATCAAAGAGAGCATAGCAATGTATGATTATCTGTAAGTCGGCTTTACACGGCAATAAACCACAGAGGCCAATACATTAGATTTCACTTATTACAGGATATTACAAAAAGCAATTGTTGGTAATTCTACAGAAACTGGGTGGTTTATCAACAAGCATTCAGTTATTGTGGAATAAACACTTTGGAATATACCATTAAACTGACATTTCAACAATAAAATGCCCAGTGATTATCCCAGCTCTGTATATCTTAAATTTTAGGTATGAATTTTATTGAGGGATAATAACCTTAATGATTTCTTTTATACCTTTAAACCTTTCATTGAAAAAAAAAAAATCTTTACATAATGTCATGCAGATTCCATTATATGTAAACTTACTGGGAATGCCCAGATTTTACCGGGGGAATGCCTGGACTATAATGACTTACTGGGGGAATGCCCAGATTTTACCGGGGGAATGCCTGGACTATAATGACTTACTGGGGGAATGCCCAGATTTTACCGGGGGAATGCCTGGACTATAATGACTTACTGGGGGAATGCCCAGATTTTACCGGAGGAATGCCTGGACTATAATGACTTACTGGGTGAATGCCCAGATTTTACCGAGGGAATGCCCGGGCTCACATGCTTGAAAGCTTTACTGGGGAATGCCCCGGTTCAATACATCGGCGTTATGCCCATGCTCGTATTTTAGCTGTGTTGAATATGGAATGCCTACTATACTTTTGACATACACAATTAACTTTGCTAATTTTGGGCTCATCCTTTTCTGTTCCTTTTAACCACAGAAGGACTTTGTATACTGGTTCATTACTTATTTTACAGACACACAACCCTTTGGAGCTGTCAGTTGGTCTCGCCGACGGGCAGCTCACAACCATGCAATTATACAACCTCCTCCTCCACCAACATCTACAACACGCTGACGGCGTGCGACAGAGCCCACACCAGTGGCCACCTCCATTACACCAGCGACCCCTTCATCAGGGTCAATTTCCATCCCAGAATTAGCGGTGGAGCTGGTCAGATACATGCAGAGGGAGGGGATTGTGTTAGCAGCCAACAGTGATGCCCAGGCATCAGTGATCTACAATAGATCTTTCAGAAATGTAACAAAATCTGTAAATATATAGCACAATTTCAGAGGACAAGCACTTCCTTCTGTCCTTAACATCACAAAAGTCAACGAAGTGATTTCAAACACCTCATAAGTATGGCTGCCATCCGGGGAAAAGCCTAGAGAGATTTTTAGGATCACGTGCCTCCTGTATAAGGTGGTTTACCTGGCCAGCCACACTCAGCTGTATCCCATCCTCAATTCCCTGTAATTTCTGCTGTAACCGTAGTAAAACACGCTCTGCCAATTTGTTGACATTTTCTCTATTTTCCTCTGAAAACATAAAAACATTTTTGTAAAAATTTCACAATGACTTTGCAGTCAGTAGACCAAAGATTATTTCATAACACCTTAAATATTTGAATTTACAAAGTGACATCCCACACAAAGGACATCACTTGTGCTGGGGTTTTAGGCCAAGTCTACTTTTGCTACATCCACTCTGTCTATACAACTAATGCTTAAAAACTTTTACAAAAAGTTTATTTATCACATGCAATACAGTTATAAACCTGATTCTAATTGTACTCTGATCTCTTCTCTCTATCTTCACTCAGTTGTATGACAGACAATAAGAAGAGATCTCTCTTCCAGTTTATGTAAATTATCCACATGTATCTTGTAGTTTCCATGGTTATTACAATACCACAGTTGTAACATTTTCCTATAGGATATCAGTACAGGAGTATCCTGTATATTAGGTCAAGTAGAATCAGATGTGCATATTATGACACTCCATCATCACCTAAGGCACTCACAAACAAAGGCTTGAGAGAGTTATAAAACATATTTTGATGCAAAGTGGATAGACAGTGAACAAAGGGTGATAACTCTGTATAAATTGGAATCTGAGACTGATTTTAGTACATAACACATACTTAAACTCTATTGGTGAAATATGCCAGGAACAAATTTATACACGACAAAGAAAGGACTTTTACTCCACATAATGATGAATAATGTTACAACATATCAACATTTAGAGAGAATTTTCACATGTCAAATTCTGTGTGGGGTGATTGTGACAGAGCTGGTCATGGAGTATAACCTACATGTATGTAGTACTTGTTGGGGACGATATGATACCCACGTTTTATTATCAGTTTATATAAAAATTCACACAACATTAATATGATTCCACTTCTAGTTTAGTATAAAACCTGAATATCTTGCTGTAGACCTGATACAGTGATTCTTATTTCACATTTATTAGCTATGACATGTAGAAATCTACTTACTCCATCTCAGTGAACTTTTTTACAAACAAAACTTGCAGTTATTTATTACACAGTTTTTCTATTCAATTGACGACTTTCCTCTTTAATTATGATATCATGTACAAAAGGCTACTCAAATGTCTTCGTTTGTTTAATTTTGTGTAGTGGGGGGTATGGAGGCTGTTGGATGTACAAGACAGCTTGAAATACAATATCAAATCCTTATACATACATGTATAGGCTTCAAGTTTACTGCAATTCAAAAATTAAAACTTCTCAAAAACTTGCACAAAGGGAATCTATTAAAACCAGAGATGAACATTTTGATTACCACCACTACATTTATATGTAAAACCAAAACTTGAGAGAAATGACACTTTAATGATTGTCGTGGCGGAAATCAAATTATATTCCATATTGTACATTTTCTATTTGCATTTTGACACTGCATTTATATTCACAACAAAATATTATCTTGTATTTCGAAAAAAAAAAAAGCATTTCAGTCGACAAATTAAAATTATGAAATGCATTTGCATGTTTTTTGCTGAAGGTGTTGAATATTAAAAGCTTACAATGGTTTACTCCCTGTGAGGTTGAAATACTGCTACAGCTTTGAAAAATGAAATAAAAATACCATTTCTTTAAAGAGGAATCTGACAGTTGTACATTTATACACTTAATACAATAAATTAACGTCTACTTTTCTGTCCTTCATTTCTAACAGGACAAATGCGGTGAATCCTATCATCCTGCATAACAATGGTACTGGGAGGCTGAACAATATACACCTGACCAATACCAAACAATGGTACCGGAAGGCTGAACAATATACACCTGACCAATACCAAACAATGGTACCGGGAGGCTGAACAATATACACCTGACCAATACCAAACAATGGTACCGGGAGGCTGAACAATATACACCTGACCAACACCAAACAATGGTACCGGGAGGCTGAACAATATACACCTGACCAATACCAACAATGGTACCGGGAGGCTGAACAATATACACCTGACCAATACCAAACAATGGTACCGGGAGGCTGAACAATATACACCTGACCAATACCAAACAATGGTATCGGGAGGCTGAACAATATACACCTGACCAATACCAACAATGGTACCGGGAGGCTGAACAATATACACCTGACCAATACCAACAATGGTACCGGGAGGCTGAACAATATACACCTGACCAATACCAACAATGGTACCGGGAGGCTGAACAATATACACCTGACCAATACCAACAATGGTACCGGGAGGCTGAACAATATACACCTGACCAATACCAAATAAATATTCTCAATTTACAGCATTAATACAAATACGGAAATGTTAATAACAAGTCAAAATGTCATGAGGGAAAACATTACACATGTTATAATGATAAATTGACAGGTATCAAATCCTTAAGAGTTTGGTTAAAAACTAACAGAAGAGATCTTTGAACAAGATTACAATGCTGAAAAGAGCAAAGGAAAGTAACTTTTTGGATAAAAAATGTGGATCATGAGAGCACTATGCTACGTTTTAAAGTTCTACCAAGTTTAAAAAAAAAAAAAAAAAAAAATTGGTTATAAAGTGAGTGAGGAGATATCTGGACAATGAGAATTCAAATGAGATAACCTGGCAACAACCATACTAAGTATTGCTAAACATGTCCCTACCGGCCCCTGCCAGCTATTTCACTGTAATGATTTAATAAATAAATATGACAATCTGACAATCATCATCAATTTGTAATAATGTGCTATAGTCATTTGTGTGTGTATTAGGTTTGAATAAAATCCTTTAAGGAATGAAGCTGCTAGACTGCTGATTTTCTAAAAAAAAAAAAAAAAAACACAGATGGCCTAGATCCAACAATCCTGAAACTGAAAGATGTCAAAGACATTTCAGTGCTCTCAAAGTGTGTGAATTTTCCTAAAAATTTCTCTAAGAGTGAAGCCGTCAGAATGCTGACAATAATTTTCTAAAAAAAGAACAATGACCTTGACCCAATAACCCTGATACTTGCACTTGCCTGAGATACTTTGAGGCTTTATAGGTGTGTGAAGCTTGATGAGAATCCCATGGGGAATTAAGACGTTAGAATGGTAACAATGATGTTCTAAAACTAGTAATAGTGATCTCCATCTAACAACCCTGAAACTTGATATTTTGATATTGTTTGTGAGTATGAATCTGACGAGAATCCCTCAAGGACTGAAACCACCATAGCATTGACAAAATATTTCACAGACAGATGGATAGAGAGAGGAAAACTGTACAATCCTTAAGTTTTACCAGTAGAGGACTAACAACTCCTTCAAAATAAGACAGAACGGGACAAACATTTTCTAAACAAAGGGCAATAACTTATCTAAATACAGATGAATCAAACCCACATTCTGGAAAAAGATTTCTGAGCAAATTAAAATTTATGATGTCACAATGCTTGACAGACATGTAAAAATCTCACATTATACAGAAATCAGTCTGGGCCAAAAGATATTCCCCTAAAACAAGCATCACAGCACAACACTAAAATCTGTAACATGTGAATGGTTTGCAAGGCTCAACATTATCTACAATATTTGTTAAAAAAAACTTGATGCTGAAGAACAATGGCAGGAATACCTGAATTAAGCGACAAGGTAAAAACGTTCAGGCTAGTGACCTCAAAATGTTTTAAGAACCTGTTGAAAATACTGAAAAAATTAAAATCCAGCTTGGTCAGTATTCAGAGAGGATGTGTAGTCAAGATTGAAGCTTTCCTAGGCTTACTGTGATACATGTTTACATGGCTAATAACTGATAAAAGACGTAGGAAAGATGATAAAAAGATTTATGTCTGTTTATGGAGAAAGATTTCTTTGTTACAGACAACTAAATCATACTAAGCAGTGAAAATGTAAATATGATGTTTAAACATGAACGGCCTCCCTTCCTACACAATAGCCATGCAACTTACGTTACAAAACATGAAAGAAATGATAATAATACGAAAATGTTCTCTACATTTAAATTCTTCACATGTGAGTTAAAGCAGTCAACTTAAGCACAGCTTTTATTATCATATATACATAAATTCTATTCATAAGTAACTTCTAGCTGACAGAAACGCTAAAACGATGAATATCAAATTATCAGCTAAAATTTCATAATGAGTGTTTCGTTTCTGGCAACAAATCATTAAGGGATCCGGTATCGCATTAGCGACAGTGAGAAGTCTGCAGACAGGTCTGCCATTGTTGTTAACACTTGATCAAATGTCCAATTTTAAACTGGACTAAAAGATCAGTGTAGGTCGCCTGTCACTGTTAAATACTACTGATTGATATATGGGGACCTATTTAAAATACCATCGTTTCAAGAGAGGTAAATTATTCTCTTTACCGGTAAATTTCTTAATCCCTGACTCCAGGGAAAGTGGTCAAACCTTGAGCAGATCTGATAAAAAGTGAAGCTTTCTGTCAGAATGAAATGTTAAACATTTAAAATATTTCTTAATAAAACGAACAGCTTCAGGCCCATAGAACCTGCATCTTTCACCTTTATAAACTCAAATCTCTTATTTATAGAATTTATCACAGAAGATAGTGGCAACACTTGATTTTTTTTATTTCAACACCATAAAAAATTGTTGATGATTTATTGGGACTATACTGAATAACTATTTTTGAAAAGAAACAAAAGATGTCTTATTTCATCGGAAGCTTTTTGATCCAACAGAAACACAATATAATGATGTAAAATTGGCTAATCTTTAATTCAAACATATTTTTCTCATAGATCAATTGAAATGTAAAATAGTAATACTTCTTACTTCACTATAAAATTTAAACAAGCTGCATTTAACATCAACACATAATATAAATGTAGTTTCTTTTCCTCCAGTTAAAATATTTCAACAAAACACAGGTGTGAGATTGCGTGTAGGTAAAACGCCTATAGAAGAAAAGGTCTACGTTCCAGACAGGTATGGCCATTATATATCACATATCTGGTTCAACAGTGATTGAGATACATGCAGGTAAAATGTTGCAATATGAGTCGTTGT